GCAATCACCTGCATGAGTGAATAACCGATGTTCTTTTCATGTATAATAAAAACCAACTGTCAAAATTATGCCAGAGTGAATAAAGTAGCTCCGTGTAGTACTGCACATTATCATTTTATTTCACTTTTGCTCTTAGATAGCCTTATACTTAGGGTGAAATGAATTCTTCGAAAACATAAAACCTATACCTTCTTCTCCTCGTTCCATTTGACTGAAGACTGGTGCTATTTCACTGATGGCTTGACCTTTTGTTTCCATCTGTTCTAAATCACCGGTCGTTTTGTCTGAGGATGAAGCGTTGTATATTAATTATAGTAGGAATAAATTTAAGCTAACCCATACATGCAAGAAAATATGTTTTACCCGGTCAGTCTATCACAGCACATTTTGCCATCATATCATAAAATATTTACCTTAAGGAACTAAAGAAAGCCCGCAAAAAACAGTCCTGGCAGTTTGAATGAGGTACAGAAACTCACACTTTTCAAAGGTAGCACTACCTTTCAGAGGTAGAATCCCGCACAGCAGCCAATAATTTCCTTAGTACTCTGGGCTCATAGTCTTTCCAGCCCCATATCCATGTATTGCAACCAACAAGAATCACAGATTATTCAGCAACATTGATTGATAGTATCTTTTTCAATTCAATTGAGCACTTTACCATCAGTGGTAACATAGTACATGATCTCACTGATCACCCTACTTATTTTATAATCTTAAATCAATTTACAACACTTCCTTGCAATGTTTAAATATCCAAGAGAGATGAAATCATTTGTTTAGGGATTAGCATAAAGAATTACCAGCATAAAAGCAAGTGTTTTGTGAATTGATATTCGGTTACGCCAAGAGCGGTGGGACACCGGATAGTACTATCCCGTCTTTTACGTTCTGCCTATATTTTTGTTGCGTTCTTGGATAAAACTCTTCTGTTGGAGCCAGATTCTGTCTGTTGTTTTGGTCTCCAAAGACTTGACTCATTATAACAACTTTCCCAAGACAAAACCCATTATCAAATAAATTTCTCCTTGCACGTTAGATTTGAGGAAGAGATGGTAACGTATCTTGAGGGAGCAATCACCTGCATTAGTGAATAACTGATGTTCTTTTCATGTATGATAAAAACCAACAGTCAAAATGATGTCAAAGTAAATAAAGTAGCTTCGTGTAGTTCTGCACATTATCATTTTATTTCACTTTTGCTCTTAGATAGCCTTTTACTTGGGGTGTAATAAAATCTCCGTAAACCTAAAATGCATACCTTTTTCTCGTTGTGCCATTTGACTTTTCAATTTTTCACTGATGGCTCTTTCTTCCGTTTCCATCTGCTTTATATCACTGGTTGTTTTGTCTGAGGATAAAGCGTTGTATATCAGTTCAGTAGTTGAAATAAATCTAAGCTAAGCCATACACGCAAGGAAAATACGTTTTACCTGGACAATCTATTACAGCACATTCTTGCCATGATGTCACGAAACAGTTATGTAAAGCTACGAAAGAAAGCCTGCCTAAACGAGCCATGGTAGATTAAATGAGGCACAGAAAATCACACCTTTTAGAGGAGAAAACTTCAGTGGTAAGACCATAACAGGGAGCTACATGTAAAATAAAATCGTAAATTTATTTGAAAGACCTTCACCCACACGTCATTTTCGTAACAGTATAAAAGGTTCAGCATGTTCAGTCGTTTTTAACCGCGGTGTTGGGATGTTCTTCACCAAAAAAGTTGATTCTGATATCAAGAGCACGCTTGGCTGACTAAGGAGCGGCAGTGTAATCCATCAGTGAATGTTGTGTAAATCCTACTGAATGGTAACTGTCAGAGGTCTTGGGATGTTCTTCACCAAACAATTTGAATTTTGATATCAAGAGCACGCTTGGCTGACTCAGTAGCGGCAGTGTAATCCATCAGTGAATGTTGTGTAACTCCTACTAAATGGTAACTGTCAGCGGTCATTGGATGTTCTTCACCAAACAATTTCATTCTGATATCAAGAGCACGCTTGGTTGACTCAAGAGCGGCGGTTTAATCACTCAGGGAATGCTCTGTAACTCCTACTGAATAGTAGCTGTCAGCGGTCTTTGGATGTTCTTCACCAAACAATTTCATTCTGATATCAAGAGCACGCGCGGTTGACTCAAGAGCGGCGGTGTAATCACTCAGGGAATGCTGTGTAACTCCTGCTTCATGGTAACTGTCAGCGGCGTTGGGATGTTCTTCACCGAACAATTTAATTCTGATATCAAGAGCACGCTTTTTTGAATCAAGGGCGGCGGTGTAATCACTCAGGGAATGCTGTGTAACTCCTGGTGAATGGTAACTGTCAGCAGTCTTCGGATTTTCCTCACCAAACAATTTGATTCTGATTTCAAGAGCACGCTTGGCTGACTCAAGAGCGGCGGTGTAATCAAGAGCAGTCACGTAGCATGGCATTTTACTCCTTGAACGGGCTCAATCTTCGCTTACTGCTACTCATTCTTGAAGTTCTAGTGTTACTGATAACAAGTAACCATTGCCAAGATGACAACAGTTCCTTTTGAAAGCGACTGCACTTACATTTTATCAAAATATTGGCAACAACGCCAAACGAACACCGCCATTTTGGGACTGAAGACAGTCTCAGCAGCCCCACCGAAGAATTTCAAACGAAAATTTCATCACTCAGTGGTGATATACACCACAAATGGTGTGTCAACTTCCAATTCTCTCATATTGGAGCTTGAAATTTTCAAGGCTTGGGATGTTAACCCAAATCCCGGCCCAACTACCTCAAGCGACAACAAGAAGGACAAGAAAAATGAACTGTACCCTCGAATATCTCTACCAGGAAATGGTCTCAAATTAGGGTAGTGGAACATAAATAATGTAACGGACACTAAGCTGGAGCAAATAAGGTTGTTACTAACCGCAAATCATTACGAAATTGATGTGCTTTTTCTCCTCGAAACCTTTCTCAAGCCAAACAAACCTGACTACATTCCACAAATACCTGGCTACACGGTTTTCAGGAAAGACCGACAAGGATTGAAGAAAGGCGGCGGAATTCCTGCTTATATCGCTAACAGATTTAAAGTCGAAAGAATTACAAGCCTGGATAAAAATGAACTTGAAACCATTTGGTTACAAATCCATCCATACAAATCAAATCGTCTGATACTCATAAGAGCTGTTTACCGCCCGCCTTCATCAACTGCGGACACATATGCCAGACTAGAGCTTAACATGGAAGCAGCGTATTTAAGAAACCAAGAAATACATGTTTCTGGAGACTTCAACATGAATTTCTCCTTCCCTGCATATAAAAAACATCGATTAGCGAAAGCCTTTAGAAGCTCAGTTAAATTTGAGTCAACTCGTAAATGAAGTTACACGTCCTGTGAGCTCTACATATCTCGACCACATCTATACAACGCATCCGGGTTTCATTGCTGATATTTCTGTGCCAAACATTGGTCTTTCGGACCATCTACCGAAATTCGAATTTGCAGGAGGATTGGACACTAGATACGCATGCAAAAGGTCAAACCACAAATCTTTTTAGGAAAACAAAGTGAAGTTTTTTTCGTTAAAAGATCGACGACAATAAAGGAAATCCGAAAGGTGTCTGGAAAGCTCTGAAATCGTTAAGCGGGACAAGCAAACCTCGAGTTCGTACCAATGAAATAACTACAGAAAATGGAATTGTCAGCAACGAAGCCGCCATCGCAAACAAGCTAAATGAATATTTTGTTAACATCCTAGAACAAATTGGCAACAACAACGATGCTGGCGTAGATTTTAAAAAACACAAAGGTGACAAACTTTGTTGTCTCAAGATTAAATGCAGACGCAGTTTACAACATTCCTCTGTTAACGCCTAAGCAAAACATCGATATTAAAGATAAAATCTCTAGTAACAAGGCCTCTGGGTACGATGGCATCAGCGTACGCGTACTCAAGAAAATTGTACCGGTGTTTGCAAGTCCTTTATGCAAATTACTTAATCTTTCAATATCGAAAACTGAACAGTTTTCTCAATCATTGGAAAATAGCTTAAGTTACACCACTGCACAAAGGAGGAGAACGAAATGATATCAACAATTACCGTCCGATATCTGTTTTACCTGTCCTTTCGAAAATTCTCGAAAAGCACGTGGCCTGCTCTCTTTCTAATTTCTTATGCAATAACAACTTATGACACAAGCTGCAATCAGCCTTTAGGTCAGGAAACTCTACTGAAACAAACCTGATCAGACTTACGGATCAGATTATAAATAACGTGGACAATGACGAAGTGACAGGTCTCGTTTTTATAGAAAGTTTTTGATGTGATTGATCATGACCTTCTTCTTAAAAAAGCTGTCGATCTAGGGTGCTACTCCTTCTTCTGTTGCCTGGTTCAAATCCTACCTGTCTGAGAGGGAGCAGTTTATTTCGTCAGGGAAAACTACGTCTGAACAGTTGACGGTAAAGCAAGGTGTGCCTTAAGGGTCAATTCTAGGTCCGGTGCTTTTCCTTTTGTTCGTCAACTGTATGGCCCTTCACGTTCAAAAGTCAACTATGGACATTTATGCAAACGACACCACCTTGTCTTCGAGTTCAAACTGGAAAACCATACCATAATTAAATCAAACATTGTCACAGGACCTGAGTGAAGTCGAGAGATGGGCTAGCGAGAACAAAATGTATATGAATATGCAAAAAATAAAAGCTTTGTTGGTAACGGGGAAGCGTCTACGGAAGCGCATGGTCCAAGATACAGAAAAACCGGAAGCAAAAACGGATAACGCAGAAATTGAACAAGTCGCAAACCATGAACTTCTTGGTATGATCATTGATGAATATTTAACTTGCGAAGTGCATGTCGATGAACTTTGCAACAAACTTTCCGAGCGACTTGGCCTTTTACGCCGTATTAGAACAATCCAGATGGATGCCTCGGATTATACAGGATTAGAGAGCGAAACGATCGACAACAACAAATTAGAGGTTTCGTGGACAATGAAACCTCCGACGACCCGCGCAATCCATGGTGGTCGACAGAAAGTCTTCGAGGCTGAGTTAAGCAAAATAGTGCTAAATTCTTAGAAGACAAAGGATCGTTTGATATACGTTACTGACATTAGATTGATGTTTGCATGCTCTTCGTTTAAAACCGATTTCTCCCGTTATCAAATTTTAGAAACACTTTTATTTTTATTTCTATTGTAATTAATATCTATTGCTAATGTAGTTTTTATTATTTGTATTTTTGTATTTTTTTAGGGGGCCACAAGTTCATCAGTGATGTTAGTTACTGTTACGTGTCACCCTCATAAAATAAAATCTCTTACTTACTTTTGTAATCCATCAGTGAATGCTGTGTATCCCCTACTGAATGGTAGCTGTCAGCGGTCTTTGGATGTTCTTCACCAAACTTTTTAATTCTGATGTGAAGTGCACGCTTGGCTGACTCAAGAGCGGCGGTGTAATTACTCAGGGAATGCTGTGTAACTCCTACTGAATGGTAGCTGTAAGCGGTCTTTGGATGTTCTTCACCAAACAATTTAATTCTGATATCAAGAGCACGCTTCTTTGACACAAGGGCGGCGGTGTAATCACTCAGGGAATGCTGTGTAACTCCTAGTGATTGGTAGCTGTCAGCGGTGTTGGGATGTTCTTCACCAAACAATTTAACTCTGATATCAAGAGCACGCTTCCTTGACTCAAGGGCGGCGGTGTAATCACTCAGGCAATGCTGTGTACTTCCTACTGAATGGTAGCTGTCAGCGGTCTTGGGATGTTCTTCACCAAACATTTTAACTCTGATATCAAGAGCACGCTTCTTTGACTCAAGGGCGGCGGTGTAATCACTCAGG